TTCTTTGCCAGAGGCAGTGAAAAACTTTATAAAAGCATTGGGTCTTCTTATGAAAAAGAGGCTAACTACCTCACTTCCATGTCTGGCAACATATGAGACAATGATGTGCTGTTAAACTTTCTACTTCTTGTTAAATAACAACCTGTATTGTTTAACTATTCATAACTTCATATACTGTATTGTTAAGCTAGGGATAGGCAATGGTGGTGATTATGGAAACTCTGTACTCTTGACAGTAAATACATATATATAGATTTGTCATATTCATGTAAGAAATTTTAACACACCCTATGATTTAGTGTATTCTGAAATGTTACCCCTGTGCTGTTCAGGGACAGTCTGGCATATGCAATTCTTTACTTTGTGGTGCTGTTTATTCTTTATACTTGACAGTGAATATAATTCTTTATAATGAATGATCTATGTTTGTTTAACCCAAGTAGAAATATGCAGAACTATGTATCAGGTATGGAATGTGATCCCCCTTAAAGCATAATTTCTTTGAGAATTTGCTTTTCCAAATATATTAACAGACAGAATTTCTCCTCAATATAAATTATTTAAAATACTAGTTCTAACTTATTTCTAGGGGGTTTATCAATTTTGGAACACTCAGGGATTTTCCCTGAAATGAATTATCTAATTAAAATGACTTCTGGCTTCCACCTGAAGACTTTTCCAAAAGTAGCAGGATTTTGATAAGTGGTGGAAATCCCAATTTTTCTGATCCTGTTAACCAACACTTTACCAATACAGGTCAAAAGATAAAAAAGAACTTCCACCTTTCCTGGAAAGTGGCCTGTAGGAAATACTTCACAAAATATGAAAAATTGGGGGAAACTTGGTGAAGGGTTCATGGTATCTCTCTGTACTGTCTTTTCAACTTCCTGTGAATCTATGTTATTTTGAAGTAAACTTTAAAGTTTTTTAAGTTATGGCAAAAATATTCAGTGAATGCTCATCTATTACAGTAGTAATTTGGAAACAAAGCAAATATATAAAAAGAGGGAGCTGCCGAATAAAATATAGTATACAAACTGATGTACTATATAATTTAAAAGTATAATCGAGAGTACGAGAAATATGTAAAATTCTTTTAATGTAATGAATGGAATATGTAGACTACAACATTTTGTGCAGTCATATTACAATGTGTGAATAATATATATGCATTGGCAAAAAGAAGAGAGAAAAATTTGAGGATGAAAACAATGGCATTATAATGGAGATTATGGTTTGTGTTTTACTCTGAAAAAAATTAATATAAGGAATGCGTTGCTTTAGGGGGTAAAAGCAATCTTAGAAATGCAGAGCATTAAATACCAGCAGTAAGCATACTTAGTCATTTAATCTAGTGACATTTTAAGAACAAGTGGTCTCTGAGGACTTCAGGATCTCTGCAGGCTCTGCTTAGAGCTAATGTTTTTCTCTCCCCCATGATGGTCTTCCTTCTCGGTGTCTGTCTACAGTTTTGGTTACCATGGTGCCCCAGCAAGCACAACTTAGTCCCATCCCTCTGTAGCCATAAAGCATCGCCTAGCTTCTTAATGGTCACTTGGCTGTTTCAGAGTCTTCCCAGTCACAGTTAACCCATTTCCCTTGTGATCTGCCTGCATTTGGCAAAAGTAGAGTTGACAGAGCAGGAGCACACTGACAGTTTTTCAATTGAAAGGGAATCCATAAATGTTTATCAATATGGGGAACACTCAAGAACCCTGTCCTCAAAGAACATCCAATTTAATCAGGGGAAACTAAATGTACATAACTAAATATGATGTTATGGGTAAATGTGTCCCCCAAAGTTTCATTTATTGGAACTTAATCCCCACTACATAGTGTTAAGAAGGCAGTAAATCTTACTATGGTAATTGAAAGCTGTGGCCTTTAAGAGGTGATTAGATTGTGAGGACTGTGCCCTGGTGAATGGATTGATCCATTCACGGAGTAGTGAGCATGGTTCTGACGGCTTTAAAAGGAGAGCAACTGAGAAATGCAGCTGTCTCTCTTGCTTCAGCCATTTCTCCATGTTATACCCTGCATTGCTTTAGAGTCACCACTAGGAAAAGGCTCCCACCAGATGTGTTCCCTGGACTTCCCAGCCTCTAAAACTGTAAGAAATAAATTTTATTTTCTTATAAATTACTCAGTTTCAGGTATTCTGTTATAGGCAACAGAAACAAACTAATACATATGATAAAGAAAAAATGTAACAAATATTTTATTTGATTACAAAATTTGCTATGAAAACACCAAAAAGTGGAGAAATTCCTACTAATCGGATTTGGAAAGCTACATGCAGGTAATAGCTTTGAGCTAAGCTGTGAACAAAGGATAAGGTATTTGAAGGAAAAGGCAAATCATTTTTAGTGTATAGAAGTACATGAGAAAAGGCTCAGCATGAGAAAAGAAAAAGGGAATGTTCTAGGAATATGGAGTAGCTGCTAACAGAGAGTGAAGAATGCTCATAGAGAGTAAATAACTGGGATGGCACAAAGTCCTGGGAGCAAATGGGGAAAAGGCTCAACATAGCCAGGAAAAACAGGAATTTGATGCAAATGGAAGGGAAATTGAGAGAATTCAGAGGTCACAGCAAACCTGTCTATAGTCAAGGCAAGACCACTGGTGAAGCTTGGATTGATTTAGGAACATGACAAAGGGTGAACACAGGTTACATTTGCGTGTGGCCTTGGAGGAGTGTGTATGGGAAATGTGGGTACCTTTGTATAGTAGGGAGGTGAGTCATACAAGTCCTAATAGACACAGACGCTAACATTTACTGATTACTTAATATACACCAAGTATTGTTCTGAATGCTTCACTTGCAGAAACTCATTTAATTATACAACCCTAAGAGACAGGTAAAATAATCCCATTTCACAAATGGACACAGAGAGATTAACTAAGCACTTAATTAGTAGAGCTAAAATTCAAACATAGGGAGCTTGGATTCAAAGTTTATGCTCTGGAAGATTCGTGTGTGTGTGTGTGTGTGTGTGTGTGTGTGTGTGTGTGTGTGTGTGTGTGTAATTATATACTTTGCCAAAATGTGAAAATTCAACTTGAAAATTTATATATACCCCACAGTGAAAGACAGAATTTTAATGAGCTAAGAAGTAATGCAACATAATTGTGTACAATTCAATAATATTTATTACCCCTAATTTGACCCTCACACTGCAAATCATACTTCCATTTTATCATTAACTTCTTAAAATTTACATCACATGTGCCATAATCATTTTCAACTCTTCAAGGAAATTTTAAAATTTTCAGTTCAAAATATTCGAAGTAAAAATGCGCATAGGCAAGACTAAAGAAGCTCTATCCTATACTCAAAAAAACACAAATGTACAAATATCAATTCCACAAATACTTTGGTGAAAACCTTAAAAGTCTGACTTATTCTCAGTAGCACAGGCAGGAGTCATGTATAGGATGGTGACATTCTGTCCAGCGTGATGTCTGATGGCCCTGCAGTAGAGCCTAGGGACAAGTGGACACGTGGCATTACCCATTTAGCTGTCCCAAGTTAGCTGGAATGCGGATGGACGAGCTGCGTGCTCAGCATGAAATTTTATGAAGACCCGATTTGAGGAAGCCACAAAGGGAGCAATATCAGTATCCTAAAAGTGAAGAAAAAAGAAGCAGCAAATTATACTTTTCACAAATTTAAACATTTCTGGGGAAAGGTTAAGCTAGTAAAAAAATAATATATAAAGAAGCTTCACGGAGTTACAGTGAACCTGCAAATAGTTCTAGAAGTAACCATGCCAAGAATTAATGTAGATACTTTATAAAAAAAATTGCTGGGGCAGGGGGGAGTAGAGGGCAAAAGGGGAGTGACACTAATGGGTACAGGGCTTGGGGTAATAAATATATGCTAAAATTAATTGCAGTAATGATGGCTACACAACTCTGAGAATCTACTTAAAACCACTGAGTTGTTCACTTTAGGTGAATTGTAGTATGTAAATTATATCCCAATAAAACTGTTATTTAAAAACCTTGAATTCTGATTCAAGTTCTTGCTAGAAATTCAATTTTTCTGATGGAGACACATACTTGCATTTGTAACTAAAATGATCGCCTGAGTAAAATATACTATTTTTATCCTCAACACTTCTAGTTTCCTCTTGAGATTTATTTTTGCGTCCTTCTGTGGGACATTGTATGTGTGCATGTGGAGGGAAAGGGATAGACGGGTCTAAGTTTTCTCTCATTTCCTCATCACTCATTTAACAAATATTTATCAGGATACTGCCATGTTGCAGGTATTGTTTTTAGCACACTAGGGATATTTAGAAATCTGCTCCCAGATTTCGACTTCTTATTCTATGTTGACAATTAGTATGGACGGCTAACAGAAGTTTTAAACTCTCCTTTGATTCTTCTGGTTTTTCCTGTTCTTTCATTTTCTAGATGTTCAGATTCTGCAGCTGTGAGTGACACAGGACTTTCCTGTCAACAATGACATTTAATTTCACCACAGCATAAAATAGTTCTAAATCATCATATGGTTTGTGACTATATTAGCAAAATAAGGAGCTACTTCCACTACCACTCTGTATGTAAACTGACTTTATGCTTTATATTTATGTTTTATATTTTTTGTTTACAATTACGTTTTGTATTTCCATTTAATCTTTATGAAATATTAAAGAAATCGTGGTATCTTTAAGGAAGAAAACATGACACATGGAACTATATCCACATTTATAAAAGAAAATATGAAACTGGGAAAATACTGTGAACACCAAAAGTCTAAAAAAAAGACGTATCTAGTTCTATACTTCAATTTAATGTGACATTGGCTTAAATGGCAGTCAATTCTGTGCTGTGCCTCAGTTTCCTTTTCTCTGAAAATTCCAGGATACACTTGTGCTTCCACCTCACAGGATTGTCACAGTGGGGAGAAAATGAGGTTGTGCATTTGAAAACACACAGAAAATGCCATACAAATATAAAGTAATGGCATTGTTGAAATGATCTCTTTTCTTACCTTTTGAAATGTTATCAATTAAATATCTACGACTTAGTCAGCTTCTACATCTGATGTGTGGCACCTTTACTGGGGTCTCTTTGGGCCTCCTGTGCATAAGAATGATATAGTGTGTACTGGTCCCGTAATCAAAATCTTTCCCCACGTAATAATTCTGTTGGTAAAAATACAGCCTCCAAAAGTTCATTGGAGTGTTGTCTGTAACAGTGAAAAGCTGAAGAAACCTAACCTTCCAACTAGAAGGGCTTTGCTAAATAAAATAGGTTGCATGATGGAATGGAATACCATCCAATGATTAAATATGATTCATCAGTGTTTTTATTGGTATAATAAGGTGTTAAGGATATATTGGTAAGTGAAAAAAACAAAAACAAAGAAATAAACAGTATAAAATATGTGTGTATATGCAAATATATTCAAAGAAAGGTGTTTGGAAGAACATATAGGAGAATTCTCAGGGTTCTAGAAAAAATTGTCTATTTTCTGATATTTCTGAAAATAACATTTATTAATTTTATAAATACTACACTATATTTTTAAAACTCTGTAGATTTCCAAGTGATGTAATTTTCTATCCAGTTTAATTAGGAATCTCAAGTGAAAAAAGAGCAGAAAGATTAGAAATAAATATCTTCTCACCAGCTGCCACATTTTCCTTACTTGACAACTCTTTAAGTAGCTACTTTCACAAAAAATGAGAGGGTAATAAGGGCAGACACTTGCAATCCTGAGTCAGTATCAGATTCTAAGTTGATGTTTACGGAAGATCTATTACATCAGAGCTTTACAAAAACAATCAACCTACTAGCCACCATTTCTTCAAAGAATTTCCACAATTACCAGCAAGAATTACAAGAAATGGAGCCAGGTGTGCAAATTTTCTATAGTTCTACAAGGGGTCTTCAGAAAGTTCATGGGAAGATTTACATTATCTTTCAATTCCATATTTTTACAAACTTTTTGAAGAATCCTTGTATTTATGCAGAAATAAACACGGGTATTCAACCCTGGATAGTTCACTGAAATCACATAGGGAGCTTTTAAAAAATAATATGCCATATGCTGCTAGTATGAATCTGGCCTTCACACCTTGGGCACGAGGGGTGACAATCAGCTCTGTATCTCATGAATATTCACAACCAATAAAAAAATACGCCCTGGCTTGTCTTTGAGAAATTCTGATTCAGTAAGTTCGGTTGGGAACTGGAAGTCTGTAATGCTAAGTATATCCATGGGTAATTCTGATACAGTGGAGTTTGGAAACTATAAATAGTAATTTAACACAATGCCCACCAGATGGCACTCATGCTCCCAAAATAGAAAGGAAAATCAGAGAATGAATTTGTTAAAAGGCTTGTGCTTTGTGCTTTGCATGTGTCTATCTTTAAAAGCCTATGCTGAGTTATTTTCATTGTTTAAAAATAACAAGTGGGAATCTAAAAACGTTCCTTTTACTCACTTCTCCACAATATGGTCCAGAGAATGGAGAATTAGCATTAGGTCCATCATAGAGGATGAGATAGTTCTGGACACAGTCTCCGGGATCGTCAATGCTGATAAAGTAAAAGCTGACAGTGACAGGCCTCCCAGCAGGAGCAGTGAGGACCCATTCGCAGTGAGTGTTGTTTGGGTAGGTGCCTGGATAGCCAGGGCTGGTGAACGAGCCGCTGTCTCCATAAAGAGTTCCTCCGCAGCCTGCGAGGAAAAAATGGCAGGAAGTTGGATTCAATAAAATGTGAACCCTCCAGTCTGCCTTCGTGCACGTGTAAAGTAATACATTTGCTTAAGGTGCTGAGAGTCTCTGCAAGAGTGGTGAAGGCAGAAACCCCTTTTCTGTTCTTTCTTCCTTGGGCTACACCCCTCCCCCTTGTCACTACCTCCTCCCGGCAACATACATTCCTTTTTTCTTCATATCACGACCTAGGGACAACTTCCTCCAGGACTGTTCTTTGAAAATTGTGGGTTGAGAATGGAATGGAAAAACAAAGAACTTGATAAAGTAACTGCAGGAGACAGTAGAGTTGTTGTCTGCCTGCCTTTGATGGTGTAGAGCTCTCCACATGCACTGAACGGACGAGAATAATGTTGAAGTAAAAGTAAATTTCAGGGCTGAAGCAAAAGAGAGGATGCTATTATGGGTTGTGACAGTCGTTACTTTAGTACAGTAGTGACTTTACTATTCAGGCTAAAAACTGGCAGTTCCAACATTGACGTACTTAAAGTCAAATACTTAGGTATTGGTGGTAATTAGCTTAATTTGTTAATTTGTATATGAAAGCTATCATTATTTAGACTAGATTTCCATGGGAATCCAGATATCCTACCTGACAAGGAGAAACTGCCTGCATCATTTAAAAGCACCTGTGCTGGCATCGGACCACAGGAGGTCTAGTCCCACCTCCAACACAGTCCAGCTGTGCATTTTGGGGAACCCATTCATCTTAGTGTTTTATTTCCTCATATGTAAAATCACGGCAGTGGAGATCATCTTTAAGCCATCTTTAGATGCAAGGATTTTATTACCCACAATTGTCTTGACAGAACGCCCTTTTTATCCCTTAGTATACTTAAAATGAGTCCTTTTTATCATTTTTATTTTGAAGGTTTTTAGATATTTCAGGATGTTTCATAAAGGTATTCCTCCTCTCTTGAGTTAAATATATTGATTCGCATGACTTGAATTTCCTTCAGCTATTTGATAAACAGCCAACCCAAGAAGATACTGACTATCCTAAAAAAGCAACCAACCTCCAGGACTGCCAAAAAATGGTAGGGACTACAAGAAACACAACTGCTCATGTGCACACAAGAATGTGCTAGTAATTTGGCATTTTAGTAAACTTTCTTCTTTAATTTCTCAGGGATCTACCTTGATGATCAAACCAAAAACCCAAAAGTCTGACAAAATTAAATTTATAAAGGAATTTTTAAATCTTTATATCTTATATGCTTTATATATAAATACATATTCTTTTATAGAGAGAAACAATGAATAAATGTAGAATTTTAAAAAATCTGTCCTTTCATTGTTAAAAATCTCAATTTCTAACAGAAAATAATCAGGTACACAAACAGCTAAAAAGATAAGGTCACTTTGTCTTTTTTTTTTTTTTAAAGATGACCAGTAAGGGGATCTTAACCCTTGACTTGGTGTTATCAGCACCGCACTCTCCCGAGTGAGCCACAGGCCGGCCCCTTGTCTTTTTTTTTTGACACCTTATGTTCTTCTTACCTACATTGCTTTCCCTTTGAGAAAGTTTTCAGTATCAAAATGGAGTTGCTTGTGTTAAAAAACAAAACAAAACAAACCCTGACAAGTAGGGCCAGGGAAAGACAAGGGCACGAAGGGGGAAGTTCTCATGCATTTACGCCTGATAACAAGAACTATCACAAAGGATTCTGCCAAGCCGCAACCTTGCACAGAGCCGATCACAACCTTAATAAAAAATGCTTCTGCAAGGACATCTGCCCAGCAACTGCTGGTCCAGCCTAGGACTCACATTACCCTGGTTATTGATCCTTGTAGCCAAGGAAAATTATCTGAACACAATTATGCAATCCTCCATCATTTCTCCCTTACCCCTTGTCTTCCTCTTCCTCCCTGAATACACACATAGTTCACTATGGCACGTGTATTCCCATTGCAATGTTCTATTCCCGATTAAACATTACTATTTTAGAGAGCCTCTCTCTGTTTGCTATTTAGGTTGCCACCTTACAAAGTGCAAATGTCTTACCAGAGGGTGATGAGGTCCAGATGATTTCATATCCACGACTGGAAATTGCACTATTACTTTTAAATCGTAGGTATAGTTTATTATTTTGGGAGAAGACAGGATTTGGCAGCAGAGTTCCACAATACTTGCCAAGTAATAGTGAACTGCTATTACTTCCGTTTCTTACCTTTAAAAATGAGTCATTGATTATTATACTCATAGTATACTTTCTTCTCTATCATTGCAATACATGAAGATGTGAGACAATTTGACCATTTTGGAAAAGCTTTGTCTTTTTATGTACCTAAGAATGAAGGATTTTCTGAAAATACACGTAGAAGTCACCTTCATTGGCAAAGGGGAGGAATGTTCAATTTGTAGATCAAAAACAATCTGCATTTGGATTCAGACAGCAATTAAAACACCAGGGAGCATTTTTTATACACTAGTCAGTGCTATAATCTTTTGCTTTGGGGAAGATGTTTCAAAGAATGTAGTTAAAGTGAATTTTAAAAAGGCGGGGGGGGGGGGTTGCCTGCTCTGTTTCCAGTCAACTGTTATACTTTGTTCATTGTCCTCTGTGTGTGTGTCCGTGTGTACGTGTGTGCATTTCCCATTGAGAAATATTTGGCTGTAAAGGGACTATGAAAAAAATGCAATACACAAAGTATAATAAAGTTCAGAACAAAAGGAATTTGTGTATGAGAACAGGACACAACTTAAGAAATCTAGAAAATTTCTGACCATTGTTAAAGAAATTTCAAAAACACTTTCTGAGGCTATATCACTTTTTCTTTTCAACTCACAGCACAGAGGAGACACATAAAAACAGGAAATGAGTCAGTATTGGGGGGGAGGGAGATAACCACACTGAATTCAACCACTTTCTGTCCTCAAGCCTGGTTCCTACTGTGCTTTCACAACCAGCCCTACTCCAACAAGGACACCTGAGGCTTCTGAAGGAAATGTTACACAGGCAATGTATGGTTGGAACCAGCTCCACATGAATACATGCTGATTTTATTGATCTGAGTTCAAAATCCTGCAAGTTCCTCTATTCCCTCTATAATCCCATAGTTTAAAATTTGGTTGATGATTGCTTGTTGTCTTAAGTCATAGAAATTTCTCCGGAGGAACAGTGGCTAGTCTTGCCGGGCTGTGTTGATTTGGAAAGATTCCTTTTAGGTCTATGTGTTAGCTAATACGAGAGAGCAATATGCATTTCTGGTGCTTTTTGGATTATTCTACTCAATGTTTAAACAAAGCAGCCTTGCAGTGGACAAAGTAGCCAGTTACCCACCTGCAGATGGAAGGGCTGTCATGTTTAAGAATGCTGGAAGGCCCTACCTGCTACCACTGTTCTCTTCACTTTGGGTCTCTTTCTCTCTGGGTCCTCTTTTAAAATGCTGTTGTGGGCTGGCCCGGTGGCGCACTGCTACAGTGCGCCGCTTGGGAGCGTGGCGGTGCTCCCGCCGAGGGTTCGGATCCCACATACAGACCGGTTCCCGCTCACTGGCTGAGCGAGGGGCGGGCGCAGCACCGAGGGTTGCGATCCCGTTGCCGGTCCCGGTCCGGTACGGGCGCGACACTGAGGGTTGCAATCCGTTGCCGGTCACGAAAAAAGACAAAAAGGAAAAATAAAATAAAATAAAATAAAATGCTGTTGCTCTGAGAAGATGAGTGGGATATTCACACTGAAGTTGCTAATAACTTGTCCTATTCACTGTTCTCTTCATAGGAGGAATTGGACAACTGAGAGCAGTAGCTACCTCTGGGACCTTAGAGGATGCTGAAAAGGGGAGGTGAAGGCACTGAGGACGATTGCAAATTCCAAATGTGGTCTAAAGCTTGGCCTTCACTTGGTAGTAACACAATCAGAATCCTCAGTACATTTCCGTTCCCACCACTGTTAAGATGCATGGAATGCTGAGGCTTCCTGGTACAGCTGCCAAGAAACTATGCCCACAATTTTCCCACTGAAAACCAGACTCAGTGACATTTTGCAGGCCTAAGTTGTAGTTTCCTTTCTTTGCTTATTGGACAGGAAGTTTCAGATCCATTCTGTGGAATATAGAAGGAGCTAGGAGGATTAGTTCTCACCCTCCAAAGCTAGAAAGCGAGTTTTTACTTCCCAGCATCCAGCAGGCCCATGACAAATGCTGACTGTCATCGGGACTCCAGCTTGAAGTGAATTAAAGGGAGTTGTCCTGTGACTCTGACCTAGTGGAACTATTCTATCTTGTCTGCACATCCCATTTCTCCCCTAATTTCCACTCTACACTTCATATAAACATTTGGTTTTCCTAATACGCTGCCTGGCACAGATAATACTGTATCTCTCCCTTCATTCCTCCTGCTACGTACATCTCCCAGTTTCCTGCCGTGGCAAGTGTTCCCCATGAAAAAAGCATGGCTTCCTCCAGGAATTTATTGCACTATATATTGACGATATTAACAATGGGTTTAAATTAATTCCATAGAGGAGAGCTTTCCAGGGTAATAAAACTCCATATCAGGTGTAGAGGCACAGACATACTTTTTGGAAACCTTTCTGAAGACTCTGGTGTACATGAAACAAAGCCAATTTAGAGAGCTTCAGGTAAGGGCTGTAATCAAAATCAATTTGCAGAGCAATTCAGCATCCTTCAATGTACAAGTCTTAGGTTCCACCTTAGTTTATTTCCTAAGGATAAATATATTTTCAACAGAATTTGCAAAGGGCACCTCCAAGCAAGCTCTGGGGTTTTCATTGTAAAACATAGGTGCAGAACTCCATACGTGGGGTCTGTGTCAGTTGGATGCTCATTCAGAATATCCTCTTTCTATGACCAAAGATGTAAAATTCAAACAACACATATAGGTGATGCAGAGAGGAAAGGACGTGGAGGGAGCTCCCCTGGCAGTACTGGAGAACCTCAAAGGTGCGAGCCCATGAGGAGCGTGGCTGTGCTTGCTGTAGGTGTTGGGGGGCTCTCTCCATGTGATTTGGGGATGGGAGTGGAGGGTGTGGAGGAATGAATGGACCGCAACTCCTGTGACTGCAGAACACTTGTTTAAGGAAACACTAGCCCTCAGAGAAGACTGAAGATGCCCCAGACTTACTGTCATTGGCAGGGAAATGAGGTTATTTTGTATCCTTCAGTTTCATTTTTATCTCCACACAAAACACACTTCTCCAAGCCAGTGCCATCATCCAACTCCAAAATCAGCACCTTACACTTGGACCTTCCCCTGGTCCTTCCGGGTTCCAACTCATACATTACCCTCTTACAGAAGCCTTCTCTGTCCCCAAACCGAGTTAAGTGCCCCTAACTGTGCTGGACTCAGTCCTTTCCACACTGTTGTAACTGACTGTCCCCTGTCTATTATTCCAATAGACTGTGAGCCTCCTGTCATGTTTCCTATTGCATTTCCAGTGCCTGGACTGGTGCTCTCTAGATGTTTAGAGAATGAAAGGATAATGAATATATTAATACCATGAATACATTAATGGAATGAATAAGGGCCATACAGGATTAGCGGCGCTAGAGAAAAAGATAGGAAATCTTAAATGACCCATCATCTTTTAAATAATTCATTTAAATGATGTTCAGATGCATGTTACCTCCAAGAAATCGTGTCTGCATTCACTTGAGTCCTCGATGGCAAATGAATGGAAAAAAAGGGAAATGGAGTGGTTCTCTGGGGCCGTGAGAACAATAGTGCAATTCATGTTATTGCTATAATTTTCTGGCCATCCAGGACTCTTTAGATTGCCAAATCCTTTGTTATATTCTCTGTTGCAACCTTAGAGAAAAAAATAAATATTCATAATTAATGTATGCATCCAAATATTCAGTGCTTTTTCAACTTGATAGGAATAACTGAAAAGAATAATTTCATTTGAACAAACTTTAGAAAAAGCTAATCCAGCTCTTCATTAATGTTTGAGATAATTGAGATCCTGAGAGGTGAACAGTGGCTTGTTAACATGAAACACCCCACGGAAGGTATGAAATCTGAGCACTCTCCTTTGAAGATGAATATTCTGGCATCCTATGAACTTTTCTGATCACGTTTAGATGAAGGTGGCTGACATTTAGACTCAAGACATACAAGGTCTATCTCCAAGACATAGTTTCTCAAGATGTCCTTTTAAATCCTTTAGTGAATTATTTCTTCTGACAGACCTGGCAAATTGTTGTTCTTTACCATTTTTTGGTAAAAAACACCAAATGCATTTTTATTGTTTGTTTTAATCAAAGGCAGCTTTAGTTGCAATGAAGTTCAAAACAAACAATAAATAAAGTGTTCTCTGGAAATAAACTTCTCAGTTATGGTAATCAAGTAACTCCTTCAGGGCCTCTTGGTTTTTACAAAATAATTTTCTAAGACATAGTAATTCCTAAATTTGTGAATATACTAAAAACCATTGAATTGTAAATATTAAATGGGTAAAATGTATGATATGGGAATTATGTCTCAATAAACTTTTGTAAAAATATATATAGTGACTTCTATATGTAGCCAAGTGGATAATTAATAAAATAACTGGTACATTTTTAAATTAATATTTTAAATTAACATGGACTTTGAAGAACATTCCAGCATTCTAAGCATTTTAGTTAGTATTATATTGACCTCTTCAGAAACCAGGTTTTGTAATTTGCTAAACTGGGCCTGGGTTCTAGTGAAGAGTCTCACCTTATATGGGTATGGTTTATGTTAACCAGCCCTCACTGGAGTCAATTCTAGCAATAATTGTAACCATGGCAGTTTTTCTTGAATAACAGATAAACTTCCAGGACTTACCTGCAATCTTATAGGTAAATCCCATTCTAGAGTTTCTGTTTAAAACTTCAGATTTGAAAATGATAATTGCAGTTCTGGTAGAAGAATAAAACGCTGGCACTGCTGAAGCATTTCCCCTACAGAACTGCATTCTTTGGTTTCCATTACTCTGAAATGACATGGAAGCCACTCATGTTAGATTTAGTTTCAAAAGAGTTGGGCCCAACAGAAATTAAACTGTATATACAAGTACAGCTTGCATATTCAGTCACAGGAACCAGCTCTAGTGTTTGAAGCACTCTGCAACTAGCTCACCTTGGCCTTGGAAGTGACAAATGTCCCACCTTCCCAGAGGGGCCGGAGGCAGGGAGGCAAAGCTTCTGCTGAAACTGTGCACTGGACACTTCCCTGCTGAAAACAAGACCCCTCTCCTCTCATGCCACTTCGTAGCTGAGGCCTGTGCCCTTGCTCTGGGCACAACCAGGTGTTCTCTAGCCTTTCCAGTGTGTGGCTTAGCAACACCTGGGTCTCCAACAGCCTCCTGGTAGAGGCCATACTTTCCCCATGCTCCACAATTTCTTGAGTAGGAGTGGTGGGGGGCAGAGGGTAGGGTTTCCACACATCCCTCACTGCAGCATCTGTTCTCACCTCAAAATTAGTCCTTCTGGGAGGACCTCTACATCTGGCCAAAGATACTCTCTGCCCTTCTCATCTGTCTGACTTACTTTCCTCCTGCTCACCTCCTTCCATTTATTAAAGACTTGTGGTGTCTTAGCTCGCAGTCATATTCTGCACCCTACTTCCTTTCTGAACTCTTGGAGGTTTCTGCCTTTTTACCCTCTACAGTGGCTCCACCACATAATCCTGTTTTATGATCTTCCTAATAGGGCTTCTCTTTCTACTCCTGGATATCTTGAGAGTTCCAGTTTCTTCAGACTATCAGTCATTTTTATCTTTCTTCCCTACCAACCCAGGCTGAAACTCTTTGTGCTCTCCTTTATTCATTCAGTCGAAGGACACTGTTCAGTCATGAGAAATACCAGGTCCCATCTGAGGCCAGTCCAGCTCCTGTTATGTTCCAGAACTGCCCTGTGCCCTGTAAGTAGTGTTTTTGTGCCCAGCTAAGTGGTCTGCCCTGACCCCCATGGTCTCACTTCATGAAGCAATGGGAAACTGAGTTTTACCCAACGGGTCTTGTTCCACTTGGCTCTAAGTCCCTGCATTGAGCGTACCACTGTGGAATAGGTGTTTTGTCCTGAAAACCACTACCAATGGGATGATGATAACCAAGCATCCTAACCACCATGGGAGCCTAGGACTTATCTCAGTGTCTATATTTGCACAAAACTCAGCAAATCCAGTGTCTACTCAGCAGTCAGTGTGTCCCAGACCTCTCCCCATTGAAGTCAGACTGACTCGATTTTTTTTTCTCCCCAGCACGACCATGTGAGAACCAGGTGACCCCAGATTGATAATGAGGAAGACTTTGAAAACTCAGAAGGTGATTGACAGGACTCTATTATTGCCAGAACGTGGGGGTTTGAACATGACATTCTTGGGATGAACTGGGACAGGTTAGTTGCTCCTCAAACTGCAGAGAGACAATCCAGGCATTCCCAGGTATTCTCCCAAGAATTCATCCTCAGTTCATGACCCTTCACCCTACATATTTTCCTTGGATAATCTCATTACTCCAACTACCTATCCATAGGATAATGATGCCCAAATCTTTGGACCTTCTGTCAACATCACACTTTTGTGTCCAACTATCTCTTCAACATCTTATCTCATGGGAAATTCAAACTCAGAATTTGTTTCTCTTTTACCAAAAAAGCTTTTTCTTGTTTTTCTCTCTTACATTTCCATGAATATAGTCCTGCTGGACTGCTGCCAAAGGACCTCATAACTGATTTTCCTATGTTTGTATTGACTTCTTCAACCTATGCATAGATCCCACTAACTACAGAAGAGCTTTTGCAAGCATGGTCCATGGAGCTCCCATGTTGGTGCCAGAACACTAGAGACGCTCATCAAAAATTCAGATTAATGGGTGCTATGTGGGGAACTGGCCTCTGAGTGTGGGCTCAGGAGGATGCACTTTAAACAAGACACCCAGGATTCTTAGGCACATGAAGTTTGAGAGCACCTGACTTACAGGACCAAGCTTAAGTTGCTCAACACCCCTCAATGGTAAGGCTTTGTTTACAGCTGAAAAACACATTAAGCTGGAAGTAACTGAGAATTGATTTAGTCATGCCTTCATTACTTCAAGGGTTTTGCAAATACTGGTGAAAAGGTCACTAGATGCAAATATCAGTCATCCTATAATTGTTACCTCCTGTGAGTCCTGAAACTCTAGGTAATTCTGTGCGCAGTTTTGCGAGTGCAGCTGTAATGCCCACACCGTTATCTCGACCTGCTGATGTGGAGGCGCTTCAATGACCCAAGTACAGATGAAAAATGGGACATCTGAGTTTGATGAATTAGGCGAGGAAATATTTTGTGGAGTCCAAGTTGCATTATAAGTTCCACCACAAGGCACTGAGGAGGGAAGAAAGAAACAACATGCAAGACATTTACTCATCTCTCCTCATGCACACAACCTTTAAAATTCTGCCTTCCCTACCCTCCCAGCCTACAGGAGCTATATTTACATCATTCTATTAAAGATTTGGGGTATATATCCTTGACTAAGGATTGTATCATGGATTAAATACAGAGTAATTAACATGCAGTTTGGTAATGGACATTGATCTTAGATAGTAGTTGACATTAAGTTTAGTAGTCAATATTTAGTTTTGATACAATAAACATTGCATTCTTTTTAGTACATAAATATGCACGTATTTCATAATATATAAAAATGTCTCAATTTACTCACTGTCCACGGTGGTATATGTAGCATTAAATCCTTCCCTTTCTAAAGTTAGGTCACTGACAAAATGAACCGTAAGGAAGTTACCAGAAGAGACAAAAGGAGCAGGTATGGTGGAACCACAAAATGTTCCAGCCAAGTTGGCATTTTCACTATCTCCATCATATAACTGAAAAGAGAGAGTTTGTTAGTTCTCCATTATTCATGAAGAAGTTGCATATTTTATTCTAAATTGGGCATGAAGTCATAATAGGTCAGGATTAAGAATCTTTACATTGATGTTCTTAGACCTAGTCTTAATTTAGAAACAGAAATGCGATTGAATTAATAAACAATATTATAGTCATTTTCAATAAAAACCTGGTATGATGCCTTACATGTTTTTCTCTTTGGGAAAGTAATAAATGATTTAAAATATAATGTGTCATAACGTCAGCAAACCCGTTGTTATCTTTACCTCCGCTCCCACGACCACTCTGGCCCAAGCCACTACAATCTCTTGCCTGGATTAGCACAGAAGCCTCCTCGTGGAGCAGCCTGATTCTGCTCCTGTCCCACTCTAGTCTGTTCTCAAATGTCAACCTGAGGATATTGTGAAAATCTAAGTCAGACCTGGTCACTGCTCTGCTAAAAACCCTCCTAACTGCTTCCCATCCATTCAATATAAAATCCAAAGCCATTATAATAGCCTTCCAGACCCAATAGAATCTGCTTTCCTCTCCCACCCCTGATCCTTCCAATCTAATTTTTTACTGTCTCCACTCTCTCTGCTCTACTCCTTGAGCAAGCCAAGCCTGCTTCAGCTTCTCAGCTGGACTGCCCTTCTCCTGAATATCCACAGAATTTGTTCTCTTACCTGCCTGCAGGTCTTTACTCAAATGTCACCGACTCAGTGAGGCTTTCCCTTATATAGATTCTCCCAACATTCCCTGTCTCCTTTCCTGCCTGATTTTCCTTCAGAGCAAGTATTACCTTCTACATACCGTATATTTCACTTGTTTATTTTACATCTTCTCCTATGGCAAGAACGCAAGTTCCATGAAAGCATAGATTTTTGTTTTCTGCAATGCTATGTCCCCAGTTTTTATTTTATTTTATTTTATTTTATTTATTTTTTGTCTTTTGTCTTTTTCCGTGTCCGGCAACGGATCGCAACCCTCAGTGTTGCCCCCGTACCGGACCGGGGACCGGCAACGGGATCGCAACCCTCGGTGTTGCTCCCGCGCCTTGCTCAGCCAGTGAGCGGGAACCGGTCTGTATGTGGGATCCGAACCCTCGGGCGGGAGCGCCGCCGCGCTTCCCAAGCGGCGCACTTATCCAGTGCGTCACCGGGCCGGCCCCTATGTCCCCAGTTTTTAGAAGAGTGTCTGGCACATAAAAGGCACTCATATATCTAATAAATGAGTAAGTGTTTTGACTCCCCTCTCCCATTATCCACTTCTCCAAAAACTGTTCTCTCCACATCTTCTTTATCTCAGAAAATGACTCAAGCCTAAAACTTCAGTCATCCTTGATTCCTTTCTCTCCCGTCACTACTGCCACATCTACTCCATTCTACCTTTGAAACATACCCCCAAAAGACTCCATCTCCATTGCTCTCATCACCAGTCTTTACCTTTACTCACAGAACAGCCACAGTATCCTCCACCAAGCTTCTTGCGTGGCTGCAAACTTAAATCAGATAATGCCCCTGCCCTGCCTAAGATGCATGAGAAGATTCCCACAAAACCTAAAGCAAAATCCCAACTCTTTGCCACAGACTGCAAGCCTGCCCTGATCTGGCCTGTGCCTCCTCTCAGACCCCTCACCTTCCTCTTTCCCGTGGCTCCTCCAGCCCGGGAGGGTCCCTGGCCTAGCCTCTGCACACACGACGATTTCTGCCAGGAGAGAGTGGTCTTTCCCATGACTCCTTGACTTGGGAGCTCCACTCAAATGTCACTCCTCAGGGAGGCCAACCCTGTCTAGTGTTGCCCTCTCCCCTAGCATCATCCTGTTTTGTTTTCTTATTATAATCAAAACACATCATATTTATTGCTTATTTGCGTTTTCTGGTCTCTCCTAACAGGAGAGTAAGTCGCACGGTAGGGGAGACTTTGTCTGACTTATTCACTGTGGTGTCACCAGCACCCAGAACAATTCCCAATCTTGGTAGCTTTCACAAACACCTGTCAAAACTCTGGGGGCTTGGATTTCTCTCCAATACATTCCTAGAAAATGAAGTTTTTTCTATCTCAGTAGTATTCACTGTATTTCTAAAATGAATATTTGTTTGTGTAACTCCAAATATTGAATTAATAACAGCCATGACCATTGACATTATTTTTAAATGCTGGGATTATGTAAGATAGAAATGGTTAAAAACAGTCATTTCAAAAGAAAAATGAAAACAAATTTACCACTAGATGGCACTGTCTCTCTTACTTAAGATTTTTAGTTCATTTAGAGCCAGAAGATTTTTTAACACCCTTATTTTACAGAAGAGTACATTTGCCAAGTTTTAGATAGCACACTTTTTCTGGTAAACAAGTTAAACTTTCATGATAGCAATTGCTGTCTTTATGATTGCACTCATATTAGCAAGCATCTTTATTCCGTGTACTGTGTGCTGGGCCTCTATGCTAGGTCCTATGTATACGAGGATGTATAAAGCACTTTCTACACTTTCAAGATACTCGTGGACTAGTGAGAGGAAGGGTGCATAAATTAAATATACATATATTTGCATATATACATATATACAAATATACATATACACACATATGAATACACGTACATAAATACACAAATATATACATGGTGTGTGTGTGTGTGTGTGTGTGTGTGTGTGTGTGTGTATAAAACAGGGAAAAGTAACTGCTACAATAAACAAACGTAAGTGTATCAGAGGAAGCTAGTTGATGGAGTCAGGTAGAGACGTTCCAGAGCTTCAAAAACGAGAGAACATTCACTGATCCAGTAAGATTTCTCCTAATTGAGTTGAAACGGACAACTTAGAGCCTTTGGACAATTGACACAGGCTCCTAAACACATGTGTGTCAAAGCCAAGATTTTCTCTGCCCACTCTCCCATTCTCTGATACTACTAAATCTCCACTATGGACTTTGGCAGGGTTGCTATAGCATGTTGTAGGCAGTGCCTGGTATAATTCTGGGCAGATGATCCTATATGGACTGGGATATAAGTGGTGCACAGTCTACACAGCAACATATTGTATCCTAGGAGCATTGTTTCTTGGCATAACTGCTTTAGACCAGAGCTTGAATTATGTTCTAAGTCTTGTGGATATGGGTAAGTGCTGAGAAGAATTTTGTGTTTTCTCGACTTTTAAAAATCTTTAAAAGTTTTAGAATCTAATTAACATCTTGAAGGAATTACACAAATAATTCAGTAGAAGACAGTTTGTGCTACAACTGCTGCGTGATTGGGTACTTTACCCAGACACCCACATGAGCAGCCAAAGAAACTGGGAAAGGAAATTTCTAGATTTTAATTTCTATGAATTTTTACTGCAAAAGGGCAATAGACTTTGACACTGGATTTTAATTATTTTCGAATTTAACTTAGTAATTTTAGACATTAATATTCCTAGGACTATGTCTTTTAATATTTTCCTGAGAATTTGATATTAGAAACATTTTTATGTTCTTAATTAGAGCATCTCCGTGTTGCACCTTAAAAGTATTTTCATGAATTCTTTGATCTCAGTGCAGAACCTCTGTTAGGGTCTGCTGGACAACGTGCCAGAGCATAATTTTGTCTGGGAAAGAGAACTGAGAGCGATTTTTCAGGTTTGGGGCTTAACTCTGACCCATTTCAGAATCCTCTGAAGAAAAAGTTATACTAGTCCCAGTGGTCTCAGGAAGAGCCACAAAGAAGAGGGATTAGAAGCACAAAGAAGCAGTGATCAGAATAAGCTCCATAAGTGCAGGAATTTTCATACTTTTTTTTTTTTTAATCTCAGTGCTTGGAGCAATGTCTGGAATACAGTAGGTACTCAAATTAACATTTACTGAGTGAATAACTGAATGAATGAATGAGTGAGTGAATAGTAGGTACTACCTCATAAAGATAGTAACCTGATGCCTCCAAAGACTGATAATCTTTTCCCCAAAGATGGGCAGCCCCTGCTTCCAGCGGCTGACCACAGACCCAATGGTCAAGCCCAGTGGGTTAAGACAGAGGCTCTCACTGAGGTCAGTAACACCCTTTTGGGAGTGTTTTGAACAAGTGTGGTGTTTTTGGATCATCACAATAATATGGAGCTCTAAATGGCATTTAGTATTTAGAAGCCACACTGTAGAATTCACCCTGCAATTCACAGGACAGTTTTGCAAAATGAAGATTTATTCTATGTCTTCATAGCTTTTGAATGTCCTGTCAGAAATTTGTGTAAAACAAAAATGTTCATAATTATTTGATCCTAGAACCTAAATCCATTCTATATATAAACCCCAAAATATTTTCACACAGCTTCACTATGCACCAAATTACCAGGAATGCAATTACTGTGTAAGTTGAACAAAAACTGTACTAAGTCTTTGTTTGGCAGCTGGCTGGTATGGGGGTCTGAATGTACTCAGCCACTTGTTTTGTGTTTTCCCACCATTTTGGAAATTTGTGTTGCAGATGGTGATGCTGTTATTGGCATTTGAGTTGCAAATAAAACCCACTCATATTTGCTTAAATTTATACTTTTATATTTACCATAATTCCACATGTAAGAAGAATCTGACTACATTATTATGAATCTTAGCATAGTTGCTTCAGACTATTTCAGTGTGGTAATATGCACTAATTTATACACTTTCCTTTTATTTCTCCTTTTCATTGCAGTGAGTACGTTATATTGATTTTTTGAAATTATCTGTATGGGTAGGTTTAGTATAGACAACTCTCACTTCAGATGGGAAAGGAAGCATTACAAAATGTTGGCTATGAAAAGGGGAACTGATCAAGTTGAGGAAAATCTGGGAAATCTCCTTTCCACTGGTTCCTTATTTCCCCAGCAGAGAAAGTCAGTTAGGGTCACACTCCTGACACCCTCACTCACTGCTCAGCACACAAGTGACTGAACTGATCAGTCATTTGGTGTCAAGAAGCCGGGCATTACACTATGTACTCAGCTCCCAGCCCCTCCTTTCCTCTTCCTTTTCGGTAGCCAGCCTCCCACAGGAAGCAGGCTTTGGTGACGCTGCTCTGCTTTGTGGAGGGTAACTCAGGGGAGCATGCTTTCATACATTTTGTGAAACCCAGCTCAGCCATCCCATCTAGGAGGGCATTCCTCAGCCCCCAGATGAAGTCAATCAGACCCTCTCCTGCTCTCCTTTTTTGAGTTGCTCATATTTATCATTTTTGTCTTATATAATAATTCCCTTGCTTACTCAGTAAAGTCTCTCCACTGTAATGATGGCTCCTTGAGATGTGTCTTCAACTCTTTATATCTCCAGTGCCAGGTACAATGCCTGGCACATAATTATGCCAAGTAACTCTTTATGGAGTGGATATGATGTTGATTTCAATAGGAACCACTCAGTGAAATACACAATTCACCATGTACTAAAGTAATCGTAATGACCCTTGCTGTGGATTGATTGAAATGTGTCCCCCAAAGTTCATATACTAGAAGCTTACTTCTCACTGTAACTGTTGAGGGTGGGAAATCCTATTATGATAATTGAAAGATGGAGCCTTGAAGAGGTGATTAAGGTGATGGTTTAATGGTGGTCATGGGCGTGGTTCTGCGGGCTTTAAAGGAGAGGACGTGAGAAGCTATCTGTCTTAATCTCTGCTCTGCCATTTTCTACTATGTGAGACTTCTGGGTTGCTGTAAAGTCAACACCAAAGAAGACCCTCATCAGATGGGTTCCCTGGACTTTGGATTTCCCAGCCTCCAAAACTGTAAGAAATAAATTTCATTTTCTTACAAATCACCCAGTTCTCTGTATTTTGTTATAAACAACAGAAATGGACTAATTCAACTCTCCAAGTCCACTCTTTTAAAAACAATAGTGATAAAATTATGCATGAATAATGGGATTGGTATGATTTTACTCATATATCTACCTAGAGAACTGAATTAAATTAGCTTTTCTAAAAAGTGATTTGATTATAATATCTAAGAAACAATCTAAAAGGAATCAAATGCCTCATGTATCACGGAGAATCTTTTAATAAAGAAACCTTCAAGCTTCACATTCCAAGAACTGGTTTTTGATCTGCCAGGTTACTAGAAGTTGGAAAAGTTGCCAATTGAGGGAAATTTCTTTCCCAAGAGAAAAAACAAGCATGGATCTGGACAGAATTTCTTTAGGGGGAAAAAAAGGATATTTTATTTTCAAGCTTGAAAATGACTCCTTGTTTTTGACATTGCTGCTTCTTTCCTAAATGACTTGAGGAAATTCAGATAATACAAGCTGTGTTTTAATGACATTATCAAATCCCACTCCATAAAGATGGATCTTGAGAGTAAATCCAATTAACCCTCCTCCTAGCAGGACCATACTCAATACGTCCTACATGAATTTAATTTTAAAATAATTTATATGTAAATTAATTATTTTAAATATTTTTAAAAAGAAGACTCCACAGTCTCCATGCCTATTTGAAATTACTCAAAGAGAAGGAAATGGAAGTAAATTTGTTTACAAATTATATGTCAGGCACAGCACTGAACACTCTAGCAGGCATTATTTTTATCCTTAAAACAGCTTTGCAAGGTGGGCACTATTATACGATTTTTTTTTTTTTAAATAGATGAAATGATGAGGAATCAGGGAGATTAGAAAATTTGTCTGGTAGCAAAATTGAACAGTCTTGAATATCACCTTCAGGGCTGCTCTGGCCAATTCGATCTCATTTCAGAAAAGAAGAATTCAACCTGAATTGACATTCCCTGTTATCTCTAGTCTTTCATGAACTCCTCTGATCTGGCTTCTGCTCCAATACTTTATTAAAATGGTTGCCATCCAATGGAATGAGCCCGTTCTTCATTTTAACCTTTCCTGGCCTCTAATTTGCAATTTAATAGTCCTGAACACCCCTCCTTTGTAAATGAACTTCCCCCTTGACTTCAGTGACATCACACATTCTTGGTTTCCACAATTTTTTCATGGCTCATCTGTTTCTTGTCTTGCCTCTTCTATGGCCTCCCCGGGTTTCTTTCCTGGACTGAGAGTTCAGCTGTCTTGCTCCATGCTGCCTCCTCCCCTCCGTGCATAGTGCTGTCTTCTTACAGGATCTCTGTTCCATTCTCTGCCCACTGCAATCCCACTGTCTGTCTTACTATCACCAAAACTACGGTCTCCACTTAATAGTACAATTCTTCTGGTCTCCTAGACTTGCTGCTTATCACTGTAAAAATATAAGTATATAATTAAGTGCTCAAATGTGTATTCCATCTATGACATTTCCTTCCCTTTCTTTTAAAACCAATTCCTGTAAAATTTAAGACAATCCTAGAACTTAAATGTTTCTCTTGCACTGGTCTTGCCATCTCCCCTGATTCCAGGCCCTCCTCACCTAAAAGTGACCTCTCCCTGGAGCCCTTCTAGACTCCTGTCCTTCCAATCCATGCTGAATGCTGATTCCAGGTTATTTTTCTTCAAATACCACTCTCATCACTTTACTCATTGTAAAACCTTCAATCTCCCTTGTTTTCAGCTGCATAAAATCTAAGCGAATTAGTTTGACTTTCCAGATCCTTTGTAATCCAAGTATTTCTCTACTTAGGCAGTCTTAATTTTTGCTGTTCTTTAGTAATATTCTGTTCCAATAAAGCCAGTGTCTTCACTCTTTCAGGAACATTCACATTCCAACTTCTATTCATCTTGCCTAGAGTTCTCTCCAAACTTAAGTTTTCCCTCACTCTATGAAGTCTTGACCATGCCGGATTATCATGAACTTTCCTTCCTTTTAAACTTGCACATTGCTTAAACCTGTATCTAATGCATTAATTAGCACTTAGATCTTTACTATCCTCAGTTGTTCACTGTGGATTTGTGTGTGTCTCCCCTTAATCTTCGGATCAGACTTAAGTTCCACATGAAAGAAATCTTGCCATCTTTGTTATTATCCCCTGAGAGTGTAGTAGTAAATACTGATTGATGCTACCTAACATTTGTAATCTGAATTTATCTGGTTTGATAGATACAATATTTTAATTTGAAAGTCATTAAAAATTGAACAGAAAATTTTCTTGATTTATTTTTAATGGGACTTAAGAATTAAGATATTTTGCAAATCTAAAGGTAATATGAGAAGTAAATATATAAACTTAAGAAATAGACCAATTAGGGGGTGATTATTTGCATCACAGACATTGTCTTTTATTTTAGGTCCTTTGAGTATTTATCTCTATAAAACCAACTTTCCCATTGAGCATCTCTTAACAAGGCACTGATGAACAGGGAATCTTAAAGCTAATGTTAAAAGCCACACAATATTTTTGAGTCATTTATTTTAAATAATAACTTGATATGAAGACAGTGAATCTGTAATACCACACGTTCCATCATTGAAGAATATGTCATTTTAAAAAGCAGTAGTTCTCACAATTTTCAGGGCTTCCTCTATGGTATAAACTGGAATATACTATATTGAAGTCTGGGATTAGTAGACTCTGTTAAGAAATATAATAGCCTTACCTTTACATAATCATAAATGCATCTTTGCAAAGTACTTGCTGCCTCCAGAGCAAATGAATTGAAGGTGAGTTTAATGAGTGTGTTTACAGGTGCAATTATAAACCACATGCAGTTTAGATTCTTGTCATATCTTCCATTCAAATCAGAATCAGGAGAGACAAACGTATTATTTGAACCTGTCAGATAACCACCACATCCTTGCTGAGGCCCTGCATTAAAACAAAGATACATCACTACTATGCAGACCAAACAGAGTAGATTTTAAATTCCACCTGGAGGGTTTTAACAAGAGCATTGTTTCTATTTTCTGTTACAGGCAGGTTGTTTCCTCTTGCCTCAAGTCCTGCACTATTGATTTCCCTCTCTGCTCCTGCCACTGACCTTGCAGTCCCTCCTTCTCACTCACACAGTTGCCTGGAGAAGTGGGTAACCACATTTGGTTCTATGTGCATTTCTGGAACCGCTGATGTGGTTTATTAAAGCTTTTCCTAATCTTGAAAAATCCAGTAGTACACAAAATCAAGTATTTTGCATAATAAAATTTGTGGAAAATGTGAACATGTTTTACTTCTATATTCTGCTTTTATGAACGCTGTCAGACTGAAAACTGAATTTACAAAGAATTTACCCAGCACCCCAAGAAAATTGGCTCCCAACAAACCTTTAATTAGTCTGGTAAAAAGAGATCGAGAGGCAATCAACACTGCAGTCTAGTTTATATTAAACCACAATCTATATTTGACTTTTTCTTTTCCAATAAAAAGGTGGGGAAGCTGAAGAAGAAAAACTTTATTGGAGAGAGAGAGAGAGAGAAAAAAAAAAGCCTACTTTAAAATAAAAATTTTGTCATTTGGAATAAAAATACAAAAGAGAGATAAAGGATAATCTCAAAATGACTAAATGGATGACTAAATGGTCTACTATGAAAAAACACAGAACAAAATTCTCAGAGCATAGGATTTAGTTCTGTCTCTTCCACAGCCTAAGCAGATGCCTCAGAAATAACTCAAGAAGAGCATACAAGGAAGAAAAACTTACTGATAATTTCAAAAGAAACAGTGAGGATGAATTAAACTCAAAATAGTCCTGGTAGGAATAGGGATTAAATAGGTACTCAAAGGAACATTCATGAAGCTTGCATTCTACACAAATACAGGTCACTACTACTTCCAAAGTTAAATTTCACTGGTATTGGCCTTCCGTCTGCCTCATTCTATTTTTGTATCTGCTAACACTGAAAAGATCGCTTTCAACATTAGGGGGCGCTAAGATTTTGTTCTTGGATCTCGGCAGGAAATCTAACAAATGGCAGCTCTTTTCAACTCTGGCTACATGTCAAATGGACAGCAAATGTGCAGAGTGGTTTTTGGTATAGGTGCATTATTTAATAGGTCAGGCTGCCCTGTCTGTAACTTCTAAGTCAGATAAAATTATAGAGTATTTGCACAGTCACATTTCCTGTAGTTGATATGCTTCCAAAGGTCCAGTCCCTGATACATCCACCAATAACAAAAAATTCTGCTCTGACCAGGTAAGTGAAATTATAGTGCCTTGGAAGATTTGGCAATTACATACACCTGTCCTGGAAAATGTTATCACGAGACCATTTTGCTTAGAAGCAGACATAACAGCCATAAAATAACCTAAGCTACTTCTTGTAACCCTTGACCTAGATCCCTGCATGTAGGATGTAGCCTATTAGCAATCCCAGATCTGTACATCATATACAACAAACAGGAAAACTGAGGAAGTGAGTAGGAGGGCTGCCCTTCTCCCTCTCTACTTTGATCCCCCCCTCCACCTCCCTGCTTGTGATTATGAAATGCCAAGCTCTGCTGGCCCTCTTTGGAACGCATTTCTCAGGTGACCTGATCTATGTGTCCCCCCTCCACCCCTGTTGCTATCATCATATTGGCTCAATAAATCCTTGCTATATGTACTTGGCCTCAGTTTCTTCTTAGGTCATTAGCATCTACAACAAAATTATTCTGAAGCCTAAGGAATGCAGTGTGGTACTACATGTTTCTAATGATTCTTCTCATATGAAACAAGCCTGGAAATTAGAAAAAAGAGTTAGAATTTGAACAGTTTTTATTCCAGCGTGGACTGATTGAGTGTTACTTAACGAAACCACTTAAGGTTATTGGTATGCATAGCAAAGAAGAATAATTAGAGCATTAATGAATTGATGAATTTATTTATTTATTAAATATTATTTTAATATTCAAGGAAGAATATTTAGTATTGAAGTGGGAAAAATGAACAGCAGCCCATTAATAGTGATAAAACATAAATAAATAATGGTGATACGATTTAGAAAATGAGAGGTGTCATTAAAAAGGCAGGAAAAGTTTTGTAGTTTGGCAACAAGGGGAGATTACTTCAGGCTATGAGGATCTAGAATGTTCCAAGAAGGAGGTGGCATTTGATCTGGGTGTTGAAGGATAAATAGGACAATATCATGTAGAAATAGGATTGGGATTGGCAATTCCAGGCTGAAAGAATCTCATGACCAAAGGTTAAATGGATAAGAATTTACATTATATGCATAGGAAAGCACAATTCTGCTTGAGAAAACAATAGGTTTGAGGAAATAAGAAGAAATAATGAGAATGAAGATTGAAAAAGTTGACTAAGCTATTGTATAGAGGGCCTCAAATGCCCGATTGTAGAGTTTGGCCTTTAGACTTTATTGTGTAGATAATGGAGATCCACGTGAAAGAAAGATTTTGATCAGAGAAGTGGTAGGATCAGAATGTACTTTCTAATCAGATAAAAGTTAAACATTTATCTGGCAGCAGCATTTCACAGGAGGAGAGAGACCAGTTAGGAGGCTATTGCCATAATGCGGCTGCAGGTAGCAGGGGACAGCGAAGAGTTGGTAGTTTGTATATAGGAAAATGGTGTTGCTGGGCAATATACTATTCACACACTGGCTTCAAAAACTACCTGTTATTTTTTAAAAATTCAAGCTGTACATTTCATCACCACTTGTGTATTAATTATTGCTAATAGGTTAATATAGGCAGAATGACAATTGTACTTGAGTGCAGTGATGCCATTACATACACTTATTATACAGTACTGCTGCTACTGCTACTATTACTAGTAATAAAAATAATGTCATGAGGCAGATACATACTCCTTCCAGGAAACCCCAGAACAAGAATCCTTAAATTGTTGGCATGTGCTGTCAGAGATTGACTGGTAGATTGGCTGATTCCTAATTCTTCAGTTATTCTTTAGTCCCTCTCTATGCAGAGCACAAGAGGACACAGTACATTTTTCCGTCCACTTGATGTTAGGCTTGGTCGTATGGCTTGCTTGAGGCAATGAGTATTAGTGGTCATGAAGTAGGCAGAGGCCTTAAACATTTGAGGGTTTTTTTTTGGGGGGGGGGGGGTTGGCTAGGCCTTTTGTGCTCCTATGATCCACTAAGAGATCATGCCCCGGGTAATTGCTATTCCAAAAACAAAGTGGATTCATGCTGAGCAGACCTGACCCCAGCCTGAACTCTAGAGCCAATCTGCAGCCTGAGGCAGGCAAGCCAGTCTGCAGACCCATAAGTGATAAAAATAAATGCTTTCATCATAAGCCACTGAATTTTGAATGATTTATGTAGCATTACTGTGGTAGCAGCAGACTAATAAACACAATTAGCTTGTTTGGGTTATCAAACTATAATAGAGTGCATTGCTGAATTCATTAAATATACACACAGAATAAAGAAAACAAAGAACTAACATTATTATCAGATAATCATAGCCAAAATAGCCAAATAATTGATGTGAGCACAGTATGACTGAATAGGTGTTTTTGTGGTGCAGAAAATGGTAATTGCTCTAATTCCTGCACTTCAGGGTTTAAACACAGTACAACTGCTCTATTCTTCTGCTCCTCCTGTGCAAAAAAAGGAAAAGTAAGCATATGTGTCTTTAGGGAAATGAAAAGATCAATATTAACAAAAGAAGCATTCTTTACCAAAAAGTGTTATTACCATGTTACTTCTTCTGTATGTCAATGGTAACAGGATACAACAGGAAGAACAAGGGAGAAGTCTATGGCTATGAAATAGAGTCCCATACAACAGAAAATAATATATATTTACTGTATCGGTATTTTGAAATCACCTTTTTCTGATAGTGTATTTTAACCTTGATATGTTTACCATCATAAATCCATCATCTTCCTCATTGCTACACATTTTCTACCATCTAGACAATTCCCATCCATCAGTACTTGCCTCATCAGTCAGGTTGTGTTAGAGCCACTAATGACACACCTTGTGCCCAAGAACAAATGTCACTTTAACCCTCTTCCTTAAATTGGAAACATTTCACACAAAAGAGCTATTTCTTTAGAGAAAGAAAATATTTTGGCTAAAGAAATATTGGAAATATAACCCCATAGTAAGTAGTGAGATATGGGTCTAGATCTACTTAATTAAAAATCGGTAACTGAATCCTAAATTATTTCCTTCCAGTGATTACACTTCAGGGTAAAGCTCAAGGCAGAATCAATCTGATAAAGGAATAAATAGTTTGCTATCCAAGAGAAAACATCTTGAAGGCTTTAAGGGAGTAGGATACATTTTAAAATAGGTATTTTGAGAATTGACATTTGTGTGGCTGACATTCATGTGGCTGACATTTTATTGAGGTCTTCTGGATAGTATCTCCGTCTCTGGACAACCATTACTTAGATGGTGTATGGCTAGCCACACTTACAGATAAAGATTATCCTGACTTCAGGCATTTTCCTGTTTCCCTGGGCAGCCATCTGTGGCTTTGGGCTATAGTTGAAAAAAGCAAAAGGAAAACACAGGAAGCAGAATAGAAACACATTTAAAGGTGGTGCCTTAGGGAGATGGGAACATACCAAAAGGGTTTGGTTTCAACCACACAGGAATGCACAGCTAGATCTTCATAATTTTTTAAAAATAAACCTTACTGTGACTTTCAAAGGTGAAATATACAACTGTCCCAAAGCAGTGACTTTATTTTAAAAATTCAACTAGCTTTCAGATGAACCTGTTCTGTCTTTTTTCTCTAAAAGTAGAAAGGATTTATTATTCTATTCCTTAATCTCAAACCTGTACAATATTTTAGGTACAGTATTTAAGTTATGCAAGAAAAAGATGTTAATGAGTTGTTTTATTGGTTTTTCTTGTTTGCTTTTAGTAATTTCACTCAATTTGACTCATTTTTGA